AACAAATTAATCAACCAAGCTAAACTTTCTAATAGCTAATCAGCAATAGACCAAGTAGATCATTAATTAACTTTTAAAATTTGAGTGAAACTATTCTAATCAACCTAAATTAAACACTGAATATAAAACAAACGAGCATAAGAAAGAAACAACCATAAAAAAATGGAAAACAAAACAGTCATGCAATTTATCAAAACCTAAAAGTTAAACCTAATTCACCTAAATTTATGCAATCGAAATTAAGCTTCAAGTAATTTATGAAATTCAGCATGATTTAATTACCCTAAACAAACGGCTACAAACCAACAAGATCAAACAAACAGAAAAGACCTAACATTATAATTAACCAAATTGTGTAGGCTAAGCAAAACCGAACATGAAAGAAGACAGAAGAAAAAGAAATAAATAAAAAATGGAAAAGAAATTACCTAAGGCTCATTTTGAAATGGACCAGTTATAAACTTGACCAAATTTAATGGGGTAAAAGTGAACTTGAACGTTCATTAATCAACTGTTCTTAACAAGAATAGTCGACTGATGGAAGTCTTGGGTTCAAATGATCCAGAAACTGACTGAAAATCAGAAGGGGAAAAATTTAGGGTTTTAGTAATCTTAGATCTCACTTCCCAAAAATTAGCATTTAGCGACAGCAGCATTCCGTCGCTAAATCAATGTTTTATGTCGCTAAAGTTGTTTAGCGACGGAATAGCAACGGATTCAAGTTGGTCCCTAAAATCCTGGAGCCTAGTTTTATAGCAATGAAAAATACCAAATTGTCGCAGAATTAGCGACGGAGTAGCGACGACATATTTTTGTAGCAAAGTTTAGCGAGGGAAATATCCGTCGCTATAGAGCTTGTTTTTGTCGCTATTTTGATGCCTTTCGTCGCTGCAATTCATAATAAAATTCATCGTTTGTTATTATAGCGACAAAATAGTCCGTCACTAGCCGTGTTATAGCTAATTGTCCCTGCTTTTTGCAACAAAAACCTTTTGTCGCCAATTCGTCGCAATATTTTATTTTACGCGATAATTTTAGCTATGGAACGTATCCGTCGCTGATTTATTTTTACTATATTGCTGATTTTTTAAAATTCTTTTTATTTATTATTTTAAATGTACTTTGTTCAAACATATTACATAAACTATTAAATACACTTAATAAAAAGTCACCGATATTAATATAAATTCAACAAGGTCCAAAATATATAGCATAATGCATATAACAGTATCATTAAGTACAAAAAATCCACAAGGACCAACAATAATGTCCAAACAAAGTAAGCTAACTACGCTAGGCTGGAAAGTTACGGTCATCATCAGAACCCAATGCATGAACCTCATCAATGTTAGCAACAGTAGAAGATGTTGGAACTGTTGGTGTCATATCAGTAATTGGCTGATGCGAGGGTAAGGAAACTAATTCACGTACCCACTCAACGATTACAGGAACTATATGATCTGTCAGTGCAGGAATCAATCGCATCACTAACTCATCCAGATTCCCTGTCGGTGTTGATTGAGAATTTGGAGGTGTTGTTGACAATGTAGCATCAGATCCAAGAGAGCCATGAAGATTTGACCCGTAGTAGCATTTTGCTTGCGATCCAAGACCATATACTCTTCTTTTCTTTTCTCCTCCCGCGGCTTGATAATATGCTTTACACTGATCAATATCAGATTGAGTTTGTGTTTGTTGTTGTAATATCTCCTGATATTTTTCCTGTACAAGAGTTAATAATAACATTCAATTTACAAAATGAAAAAAATATATGAAAGTAAAGTCAATAAAAAAGTTATCTTACACGTATGATTCGGGATTTCTCAGCAACAAAAGATTTTCCATCATTACCATTTGTATGGATGTGCAAATGCAACTCATTTGGTGTTGGATCTCGACCCTTTTTAACAGCCTATACAAAAATTATTCAATGAAGAAGATAGAGAAACAAAACGGTACACTAAGCGAATCCCAATCAACCTGAAGTTTGCTAAGGAGTTGAACGCTATAAAGAGTGTGTGCAAGGCACAAAAGAATAAAAGAAATAGTTTCAACATATATGCAGTAATAGCAAAAATTATTTTACACCATCAGGTTAAAATGACAACAATTAACAAAAGCCAATAAGATTTTTTTAATTCGTGCCCAGTCAAATGAGTTCAAGTAAATTGAAACGGAGGGATTATCTTGGTTCCAAATTTGAAATCTTAATTTCACAAACTAAGGCAGTTGTTCATCAGGACAAAGTGAATATTAATCTTCCAAATTTCACATACTTAATTTCCTTTGAATTTCAAAGAAAGAACATGTTTGTTTACTTCAAATAGCAGATTAAATTTTTAGGTAATTAAACACGAAAAACATCGAAAGTCTATAGGTGCAAAATCAAGAGCTTGGCATCCCTCATTGCAGAGCATATCTGAGGCTACAGACTGATTTGTGATACCAAATAAATGCTTATAAGCTTATAGACTTGTTTTAGCAATGGAAAATTTTACCGCACCCCCCAATGTTAGTCTAATGACAGTTAGCAGCCAACCCTGAACTAACGTAAGTATACCAAATAAATTCTTATAAGACTTTTTCAACTTTTCCCAATTTCTATCAACTTTATATTTCAAAGAGTACACACCAAGATCTAATTTAAAAATACACCCCTTATCTAGAATATTTATAGTATCTACTAAGTTAATTCTCTTTTATATTTTTTCTTCTTAGTTCTATTTTTCAGTTTAGACTAAAGTCAGTATCTATATATTGACTTCAAATTGGAGTGGAAATATAGAAACTAAATTATTCTTTAAATACCATTATTTGACATTTTCCAAAACCAATATTTCAGTAGCTGTTTAGCTTTTGGCTGAAGACAAAGGCTTTTAAAATGAGCTAACTTAAGTGTTTCAACCAACTTAATAGGCAAATATAAAAGACAATGCAGAACTAGCTTAAGAACATGAGTATCTACTCAACAACACACCTAATAGTATCATGATCAAAGAACGGGGAAGTTACTAGTTAAATTGTTCAATGTGGATTAGGAAATGGCTGGAAGCTCAAAATCTAAAAAGAACTCAATAAAAAAGGGAGCAGTAAATGTATAAAGAAAAATATGGAAGATGCTATCAAATGAGCTATGGATCAGAACACTATCATTAATCAAAACAGCTTTGATAAACTGATGGAGGAGGGAGGAAGATAAAGGAAATAATTATGATATACAGAGAAAATTATATAAACTAGTATAGGTACTAAATAATAAAGGAATGGAACTAAAGAAGTTACTAGTGAGGACTCTATGTAAGGGAACATATCCCCTTTCATTCCTACATACAGGAAATGCTTTAATGATTTTGACAGAATCGAGTGATGTCATATGATTAGATAATTCAGTGGAAAAAAAGTCAGTGAATTCAGATATCGAAATTACTTCAAATCCTAGAAATACTTTCAAAACAAACATTTGATAGTAAAATGCATGAAAAGAATATTGCCAATATTACATTTTATAGAAATATATTGAGAAGATATTTTTGTAGGAAATTTTAAGAGTAAAAGGTCTTCATAGTAAAAGCATGAAACACTCTTATCAATTTGTCTTCTGCTTAATATTCTTGAGAAACTTGACTGTCTATTTTGATTCTATCAACTGTTTGGTATTATGGTATCTCCTCGATCAGAAGTTTCATTGGTAATTTCATGTTTAACACAGCTCGGACAATATTATTGGTATATTTGGAGGAGAAAACTATGAGGAAAAGTTATTGATATCCCACAACAACCTAAGTGGTGAATATATTTTCACATTAAGGTATAAACATATATAAGTTCTTTCAAGTTTATATGTATACACTTTTCTTGTAAAATATCTAATCCACTTTTGGAACAGAGGAATCTGGGGCTGCAAGTGAACATGCACACAGTACAAATCCAGGGAAAAGTTATAAATACACTTACAAGTCTCTTGTGATGCTCCCCAACACTAATAGAGCCACCTGTATGAGTCCCAGTAGCAATTTCGCTCCCACCACAATGATTTTTTTGCATTTATTTCTAACTTTTCAACACACTTAGGATATTTCCAAAGTCTCGACCAACTTTCCCACACATTATTTGGAATAGTGTCCGGTTGCACCATATTCGCTTTTAGTTTGCTAACAAAATATTGTATCTTCTTGCTGCCCTACGCTCCCATTAGATCTGCACCGCACTATCAATTGAAGAATCCCAGTAGAAAGCCTTCTGAAATAATTTTATAAAGTAATAACATTAATAAGTTACATATAAAAGTTAATATACTTTCAAAATCTAATTGTGATATATTATACCTTGAATTCTCCAAAATAAAATTTTCTTAACTCATTTGAACGTTTTTCCAGTTGAATCCATTAGGATCAAGTTCATTCTTGAAAGACTTAGTTATAAACTCAGAGCATTCATATGAAGGCTCTAACCTGAACAAATTAGAAGACATTATTAAAAGGAATACCATGTATCAATAACAATATACCAAAAGTAATAGTACAAGTATGGACTAACCCTGTAGGAGAAATAGTAAGAAGCGTCCGCGGTCGGCGGGTACTGCTACACTCAGTTTCGCCTATTATGTTGCTTTGAGAAGATGTACCCTCACCTATTGTGTTGCTCTGATTAGGGGTATTTTGATATGGTTCCAAATTAATAGTTGGGGTACTACCATGGCCTGATGTTTGAATAGGTGGTGTACTACTAAGACCTAATGTTTGAACTTGATTGATGTGATCCGGTCCACCTGAGGAACTCATACCACCTTGTTGAGGATTGACTGTGGGAATGGGAACAACAAGCATATTTTCACGAGTAGAAAAATTACCCCTAACAGAAGATTTACCTACACGGCATGCGCTACCTCGACCTCTACCTCGAGGCATATTTCCAATTGCTCCTTTTCTTGGCCTGCAATGGGCTGCTCCAACTTAACCTGAGTAGTATAGTCTCTGAAAATTCAAACAAGCANGATTGATGTGATCCGGTCCACCTGAGGAACTCATACCACCTTGTTGAGGATTGACTGTGGGAATGGGAACAACAAGCATATTTTCACGAGTAGAAAAATTACCCCTAACAGAAGATTTACCTACACGGCATGCGCTACCTCGACCTCTACCTCGAGGCATATTTCCAATTGCTCCTTTTCTTGGCCTGCAATGGGCTGCTCCAACTTAACCTGAGTAGTATAGTCTCTAAAAATTCAAACAAGTAGAAGCTAAGTTATAGAAAATTCAAGCAAGCAGAAGCTAAGCTAGTATGAAAGCTTATAAAATTCAAACAAGCAGAAGCTAAGTTACAGAAAATTCAAGCAAGCAGAAGCTAAGCTAGTATGAAATCTTATAAAATTCAAACAAGCAGAAGCTAAGTTACAGAAGCTAACTTACTGAAAATTCAAATAAGCAGAAGCTAAGTTACAGAAGCTAAGCTAGTATGAAAGCTTATGAAATTCAACAGAATGCGGAGAGATACATGGTGACTCCATTGGAGGCACCTGAAGAGATCAAGGGAATGATCAAGGAAACAACAACAAAAATGAGCATAGAATCTGGGAAAGCACTAAAAGATCTAGCACGTTCTATAAAAATAATGACTTTTCCCTTGTCAGCTAATAAACATGTCTAAAACGCCAAAACCGCAGCCAAGAACCTGAAATCACTTCTCATATCAGGTTTCTAGGAAGATATTAACTTACTAGAAGTCATACCAATGACTACAGTTGCATCAATACTAACCGATATCATCATTTGTGTCAAAGAAATTGCTGATTCTGTTAATGAGCTTGCTTCTTTAGCTCATTTTAGCAGCAAAGAAACAAAGGTAGATTCATCAAAAGAATCCAATATTGAAGCAACACAAAGCAGAAAAATACATGCTACAAATGTGGTATTCGATTCACAACACAACGTAAGCTAGAAGTGTACTATACCATTTAGATTACTACAAACGTAGTATTCGATTCGATTATCTATAGATTATACTACAAAATAGATACATGACTTATAACATACCACACAGATTACTAGAAAACCAAAATTCAATAAAAATATAGTAGTGCATTATCAACACACTAGTCATCATATGTTTCTTCTTCATGCTCTTCCTCATCATCCTCCTCATTTTCATCCTCAGTTTCATACTCGTCTTCTGAATATTCTTCTTCAAACTCTTGATTCTCTATCAATAGTCCATCATTAATGGGTTCAACCATTTCAATTACATCCCCATTTAGGTCATGTAAGATTATATTCTCATCAGTGGTGAAATTCATATCTATCAAATGAACTTCAACTTCTTCAACTTGGAATAGAAGAGCCGGTTCTGGAGTTGATGTTATTGCCTCATCAGGAAGTTCAATAACATCCCGAGGTTTAACTTTCAAAATAGCTACCCAATCATCCTTGTCCTTTTTCGTGCTAGGATAAGGCATATAACACACTTGAGTTGCTTGCATCGCAAGAATAAAAGGTTCATACTTGTTAAAGCGACGGTGACGGTTCACATCGACTAGTTTGTATTGTTAAAGCGGTCGATCGCAATAGTTTACCATATCTTCACGTGCCTTTGGATTGTTTTTTATTTTGCCATCAACGTTAAGAACTGTGTTAAATACATTATCAAAGACGTTCTTCTCAATATGCAAGACATCGAGATTATGGCATATCATGTTAGAGCTCCAATAAGGCAAATCCCAAAAAATGCTTCTCTTTTTACATCCACAACACCTAGAAATTCTCCCATTAACTTCTTCTACATCTAGCTCAGTTACTTTTCTCAGTCCCAACTCACAAATTTGGTTCAAGATTTCATCTCCTGTCCTAAGGGGTGGTGGTAGCCTTCTGACAGTCTGACCTTTACGAAAGTTTTTACGATCTCTCCTAAATGGATGATTTTGGTCAAGAAATATTCTATGAGTGTCAAACCAAGTTGTTTTCCCACCATGAAGTAATCTGAAGGATTGTGCTTCCTCCATACAACAAGGACATGTAAGTTACCGGCATTACTCCATCCAGATAATATAGAATATGCTAGAAAGTCATTGATTGTCCACATCAAAGCGACCCTTAATTGAAAATTTTGTTTTTTGAGATGTCAAATGCTTCTACACCCGTCTCCCACAACAAGGTCAATTCCTTTATTAAAGGTTGTAGATAAACATCAATTTTTTGTTTAGGGTTGTTTGACCCTGGAACAATGACAGTTAAGAACATGTACGCCCCTTTCATACACATCCCTGGAGGCAAATTGTATGGAGTAACAATCACTGGCCATGATGAGTATTTCCTCCCTGAATGACCAAAGGGCTGAAAACCATCAGTACATAATCCCAACCTCACATTTCTTGGTTCAGCAGCAAAAAAGGGATGAGTTTCATTGAAATGCTTCCAAGCCTCAGAGTCTGATGGATGACGCATTACTCCCTCCTCTTGTTTTTGCTCATGATGCCATCTCATATCAGCGACTGTAGCATGAGATGCATATAATCTCCGTAATCTAGGAATCAAAGGAAAATAATACATTTTTTTATAAGGGATTAATTTCCTTTTACAAGAACAGACACGACGTTTGTACCTCTGGTGGCCACAAAACTTGCAAGATGTGAGGTCCTCATCTTCACCCCAATACAACATATATCCAGAATTACAACAATCAATCTTTTCAACTAGCAAATCCAAGCTACGCACTAGCTTCTTGGTCTCGTAATAGTTATCAAGTATTGTGTTATCTTCTGGTAAATCCTCTTTCAACAATTGCATCATTTGGTTATAACCTCTTTGTGATAAAGTATTCTCAATTTTAATATTTAGCATCCTGGAAACCACTGCGAGTTGAGAGAGGGAAGAACCAGGGTATAATTTTGCATCAGCGGCCTATAGCAAATCATAAAACCTTTGGCACTAAAGATTTGGCTCCTCATCCATTGAAGTATTAGGCTCCTCCTCCATTGAAGGATTAGGCTCCGCCTCCATTGAAGGTTCATAAGAATGCGACGACTCAGGTTCAGTATTATTATAAGACTGCTAACTCAAACCATGGCCAAAATTGGGTCCAGCTGCATCCAAAACCATTTGTCGATATGGATTCTCATATCCCGATTCAGGTTGAGCGCCACCATGCAAATCACCACTAGAAAACATCTCACCGATCACATCTTTTTCTCCGTGATACTTCTAAAGAAAATAGTTCTCAACAAATCCATACCGATAAAGGTGCGATTTAATAGTTTCAACATCCATGTATTTAATGTTGTGACATTTTTTACATGGACATCTAACTTTGTCACCACTCATGCGATTGCGCTGAGAACAAACAAACTGGAGAAACTTGTTCACACCGGTTATAAAACTTGAATTAATACCCCCTCGGCCATCCAACCTTTTGTACATCCAATCACGCTCTAGATTGTCCATGTTCCTATTTAATATTAAAATAAACAAGAAGTTGTTAAAGTTTGTTAAAGCTGCAGGAGGTATAAAAGTAGGTGCAGCTGCTACTGCTATGACTGCTGCAGCAACTGCTACCAATTCAGGATCCAACTGCAGCAATTGAAGGCTTTTCAGCATGAAGTGAAAGTTTTTGAATAAATGTCATCATTGATTGGATTAAACTTGTACGTGAAGTCATATATTACAAAAAGTTCTTTCAAAGAACTCACATTGCTCAAAATCTCAAGACTATATTACACTTGTTTTGTCTTGAATGGTGGAAAATCTCTTTCATCCCAAACAGAGATGTTTGATCCTAACCAATCTAAGTGCAATGACTAATTACGGACTGCACTACTCATCTATAAAAAAGCAAAACTTTCAATTACAAGCAGCAGAATCATATATCTTCTACCAATCAGAGCCATATTTTACCAAGTACTACAATTCCACTATCATGTAACACAATGTGCAAACGCAGAAATATTCACATTGTCCCTTAATATATGGAAAAACAGTATTTTGTTGTATGAAGTTTTTGAAGTGAAAATGGTGGTGTTTAAATTCTACCATTGTGTTAAATTGCTGGACAGAGGGTGACACACATAGGTATTCCTGTGTCCTTTTGTGGCACTTAAATGTTAAAGAGTTAAAAATACTTGAAGTATATTTCTTTCCTTTTCAACACTTTTTCATAACATACATGATAATCCTTAAAAAATTGCATTGGTTCTATCATGGAAAAACATATATTCTCAATTTTTCGGCATTCATGTTAAGCATTTCCTTACTCTTAAGGTTAGTAACAATTTGAAACTAACTCAAAATTAGCTGGACAGAGAACCACAGCTCCCAAATCTTAGCAAATCTTTGAGTAAGATACTCTTGTATTACTAGCAAATAGTACATCACTCTGGAAAGTATCATGGTATTACATTTTACAACATGTGACTCAAGAGATATCAACTCAAATGCAAGAAATAAAAGATCAAACTGGATATAAATCATTAGTTACAGTAACTACTCAGCTAAAAGGTGCAGATTTCAGATGCATTTCTGATGACAATGCAGCCAATTAAGGTAAACAATGGCAGCAACATTTACTTGCCCTTTAACTGGTCAGGATCAAGCTAGCATAAAATAAGAGTAAACATCAGGAGAAGTTTGAAATCTCTCATAGAACTTTACTACAGATCCCTAAGATTGAAGAGGAAGACCATGCGCGGATAGGAAATATTTGACTTAGGATAATCACACAGAAGAAAGAAGAACTACTGATATATGAATACAAACAATTGAATTTACAAAAGAATAGGAACAAGGTAGAAAGTACTACACAAAGAAGTTTACCTTATCAAGGACATGCAATCCCTAAAATCAACGCACAATTTCGAGTTTCAGAATCCTACAAACACATGACTTCGAATTTCATAGATCTGCAGCAAAAATTTGCAATTTCAAAGGTTTTCTTCTATTTTTCAGATAGGTATAAAAAATCACTTTTTAACACAAGAAAAGTAATGAAATTGTCAAAGATTTGACACTTAATTTGTGAAATATCAGAAGAAAGCAAGCCCATACCTCTGAGAACAAAACCCCTTTGCAAAAATAGGAAACCCTCGACTGAAAACCTACGCTACTGAGGTCTCAGCCTTTGTTGAGGACCGTCGACTGAAAAAGTGGAGGTGCTGAAGTCTCAGTGTTTGTGCCTTCGAAGAAGAGGAAGAGAAGAAATAGGAAGAACAATGGAGAAATTAGGGTGTTTGTGCCCTAATGGTTAGGAAGGTCTTTTACCTAGGGTAATTTAATTTTGGGGACGGAAATTTAACGATGGAAAAGCGACGGACCGAAATTCTGTCTCTAATAGTAATTAATGAAATTATATTTTAGGAAATTAGCGACGGAATATTTTGTCGCAGATAACTTTCGAATGCCTTGATAAGTAAATTGAATTCTACGACGGATTATTGGATGTTAAATCCGTCGCTAAGTTTCAATATTTTTTGTCGCCCAGCATTCATCGCTAATTTTGTAGCTAAAATAAAGGCACTAATATTTAGCACCAATTTTAGCGAGGAATTTAAGTTTTTTTCGCTAATCCATCGCTATATTTGGTACAAATTATCTTCTAGCTTATTTGGCGACAAAATACAAATTTCATCGCTAATCCATCGTTATTTAGTTATGGAATATCGCTTGTCGCTAAATTCCATCGTTAAACGCTATTTTTTGTAGTGTCTAAGATTCAAGAGGTTCTGGACTTGTTTGAAAGGATTTGTGGTGATAGACGAAAAGAGGAAGCGAAGGTGGTTATAGGATGTTAATTTGGTAGAGTTTGGAGGTGGTCTGCCGCCGTGAGGCGATTTCCGACCGGCGGACCACATCAGAGACGGCGAGGCATTGAAGGGCGGCTAGGGTTTGTTTGTAAGAGCTCAGAGACAGATGTAAAGGGGGTTCTCTAGGGTTTCATGGGGAGTTCAGACAGTTTTATAGTTAAAGGGTAGGCAGTTACGAGCCGTTGGATCAAGGGGAGGGTAGACGATGTCATTTTGGCAAGTGGGGGTTTGGACCGGGTAAGGGTGGTCTGGGCCTGGGCGGATAAGAAAGGGAAAATGGGTTTCTAAGTTGGCCCAATTTCCAAACAAGACCTGCCCATTTCTTTTGTTCTCTTTCTTTGTTTTCCTTTTTTTCTTTTTCTTTAATTTTAAAATTCTAATTAAATTAATTAAATCCTAAATTAATCTAACCTATAAATCAAACTAATTATATATTTATAATAATTACAAAATTATTTAATCCTAAATTAATGAAGAGAAAATTACCAATCTAATATTAAAAGCTAAAAATATAAAAATGAACAATATTTTTTGTGATTTTCATTTTAATAAAGCAATTAATTTACTAATTAATCCTAAAATATGAACACAAAATCTAATATGCAATGCATGAAGCTTTTGATATTTTTGGGGCATTTTTCATGATTTAAACAAAATTAAACGTGCACAAAAATGCAAACAAATAATAAAATCCTACAAAAATCCTATAAAATTGAAAACAATTTGGAAAAAATCTATTCTTTAATTTTGTAGGAGTATTTTTTAGTGGGGCAAAAATTACATGCTCACAGCTGCCCCTCTTTGCTCAGAAACACGAAGAGGTTTCGGCAAAGATAAAATGAGCAATTAAGAGCGGTTTTTGACTGTCTGGATACTCCCTAGGAAGCATGTTTTTGGGAAAAGTCTAACCGAACCTTGCTTCGGAGGTTGCCTACATATCTTTGGCTATAAAGGAATCAGGTCAGTGTAGTTCTGGAAGTTTTGGTAGCTGGGACTACCGAATAGCTGTGATTTCACTATTGTTGCTATTGTTACTGCTTGCTGAGCTCCTTATTATACCAAGATCAAAATGAAAAACTAAACTAACTAAACCTATCATCTACGAGTTACATGATCCCTATCTATAAACTTTCTGAAGCTTGATCTTGAGTCTCGACTGGTTATTCATGCAGACTCTGATCTGAATTTTAATGCTCGTTAGCTGAAAATGCTGGTTCATTTTTCTTCTGCTTTTCAGATCAAGGCGAGACATGCAACGCTTGTGACTTCAATCATATCTTGAGCAGTCCACATCTTTTCTCCGCTTCTACACTTAGAGTTCACTTCTTTTCTTGTTCTTCTTTTCTTTTATTTTGGATTTAGACTTCTTTTTTTGGTCGTCTCGAAGCCTGTGTCTCTAGGTATAACCTGCTCAGACACCAAAACAAACAAACGAACAAAATTCTTCTGCCCCAGTTTTCACTAGGAAAATTTCGTGAGTTATTGTAACAAAATTCGAAACTACTTCACTATTGAAAGCAATAAAATCACGATTGTGTATCCTTGGGGAAAAACGATTAAGGAGTGGAGACCCTATATCTAAAATGAAATGAACTAGGGAGTAGGACCCTATGTTAGAAATGTCATCGGGTTATGCCGACATCAACTAGGGAGTGAGACCCTATGTTGAAAAAGTCATCGGGTTATGCCGGCATGAACTAGGGAGTGGGACCCTATGTTGGAAAAATCATCAGGTTATGCTGGCATCAACTAGGGAGTGGGACCCTAGGTTAGAAAAGATGCAACTAGGGATTAGAGACCCTATACTACCATGATTTTGAATTTTTCTTATTTTCTTTCTTTTCATTTCACTTTTAATTTTATTTAGGAGAATAAATAAAGTGTTCCGAAGGGACTTCCCTTTTTGGGTTAACTTTGCTTGCAGAACCGTTTCGAGTCTCTGCATGCTTTGCTTTTATCGCATCTGCTTCTTGCAAGGTGGTTTTGGATTGTACCTGTTTTCCTATTTTCAAATCAAAAAACAATTTGTCAGTTTGAAACGGTGGTTGGTTTTGTGGCCTTGATTGTTTCAATCATTTGATCTTAGCCTTTCTCTTCCAGTAAGGATCTTCAGGGCTTGCTTGCTCTTTCTGGGAGTCGGCTTCATCTCTAAAACTCGGGGATCTTGACTTTTCCCAAATTCCACATGATGATTAACCCGTGTGGGGCTTGGCCTTTTCCATTTTATTTTGCCTTTATGGGTACTTGACTTTGATTTCCTTTCTTTTCAAGAGTTTTTGACTCGGGAGCATCGACCATCATGGCCAGTCGAGGTCGACTTGATGTACCTGCTGAGGCTGGGTGCTTTCTTGAATATTAGAATTTGCCAACAAAACCCTATAAGACCAATCTTTCCATCTTTTCTTTGTATTATTTTCGGAGGAGAATTAGACCGAAAGGGATTCAAAGAAAAGTAAACAAAGGATAGGATAATGAATTTAAACGAGAAGTGTCCCTTTTGGGAAAGAAAATAAGGACTTATCTGGAGTGCATGCAAACTTCAATAGACATGACATGCTTTTTGGATTGGATACCCGATATGTGCAAACCATCCAACTCTCATAAACCCATCATAACCCATACTTCAAAACCGAGAAACCTTGCCAGGACTGATTCAGTGTCGATGGTTGTAAGGGATCCTTTTCGATCTGTGGCGCCCTTTGCGAGTTTTCACCAACTGAACTCTCTCATTTCTCTTCTCATCGGTATCTTATAGTTCTCTTTGCAAATTTTCACTAACAAGACTCTCTCATTTCAATTTCTCTGCTTACCATCGCCCTATGGTGCCCATGTGGGTTTTCACCAATAAGACTCTCTCATTTTATTTCTCTCATTTGATTTTATCAGATCCAAGCAACCATATCCTCCAAATTTGAACATCTTTACCGATTGATCGGAAGGACTTGAACAGGATTTGGGGTAAAATAGTTTGGATTGAATTATAACTTTGGAACCTTTCAGGCGAACCACTACCGAATCATTATAACTTCTGCCTCAGTTTCAACTTTTGGAGAATTGTGGAATTTTGTTTTGGTGTGACTGAACCCCCGAGAGACTGTCTAGGTATCCTTTTAGAATCAAGTCGAACGTAGTTTAGCAAATCTTGTTTTTGATTTCTTTTTGTTTTTGTTGTTTTGTTGTGTTTTTTTTATCAACATTTTCGGGTTCCAAAGAGGGTAGTCAAAGAAAGTAACAGGCTCATAGGGTTTACAAACGGTTGATAGTGTTTGGGTAGCGAGAATGAAAGCCTTCTTCATCCCAATCGGAGAATATTAGCACCACAGAAGGGTCAAACGTAATACCTTTTGACTGCGTTCGCATTGACAGCTGTTTCGGGGTTATTTCCTTCAATATCTCTTAAGTACAATGCCCCTTTTGGCAACAATTTTCTTATAATGTACGGACCCCTCCAATTTGGAGCGAATTTTCCTTTTGCTTCCTTATAATGCGGGAGAATACGTCTCAAGACGAGTTGCCCCACTTTAAAGTTTCTAGGCCACACTTTCTTGTTGTAGTTACGGGCCATTCTTTATTAATACAATGGCCCGTGGCAGACTGTGGCCATCCGCTTTTCATCAATCATGGTTAACTGTTCTAGACGGGTCTTGACCAATTCATTATCCTCAATCTCAGCTTCAACGATGATTCAAAGAGATGGAACTTCCACTTCTGTAGGTATTACGGCTTCAGTGTCATAAACCAATAGATAGGGTGTTGCCCCAACTGATGTGCGCACGGTTGTGCGATATCCTAACAATGCAAAAGGCAACTTTTCATGTCATTGTCTCGAACTTTGAATCATTTTCCTGAGGATCTTCTTGATATTTTTGTTCCTGCTTCAACAGCACCATTAGCTTTAGGCCGATAAGGGGTAGAATTCTGACGTATGATCTTAAATTGTTCTCATACCTCCTTCATCAAATGACTGTTCAAATTTGCAGCATTGTCCGTAATGATAGTCTTAGGAATACCAAAACGATAGATAATGTTGGAATGCACGAAGTCCACTACCGCTTTCTTGGTGACGGCTTTGAGAGTCACTGCTTCAACCCACTTTGTGAAATAGTCAATGGAAACTAAGATGAATCTGTGCCCATTTTAAGCTTTCGGCTCGATTGGCCTAATGACATCCATACCCCAAGCAACGAACGGCCACGGTGCTGACATAGGATGTAATTCTGAAGACGGTACATGAATCAGCTCACCGTGCACTTGACACTGATAACACTTTCGGACAAAACTGAAGCAATCCTTTTCCATAGTCATCCAGATATAACCTACCCGAAGGATTTTCTTTGAAATGACGTATCCGTTCATATAGGCTCCGCATACTCCTACGTGCACTTCATTCATGATTATTCTGGCCTCTTGAGCACCCATGCATCTTAAAATGTTTAGATCTGGAGTTCTTTTATACGAGACTTCTCCGCTCAAGAAGAAACTACTGGCGAGCCTTCTAATGGTTCTCTTTTGGTCTCCACTAGCTTGTTCGGGATATTCCTTTATTTTCAAGAATCTTTTGATATCATGATACCATGTCTGAATATTTGATTCCATTTCAACTGTATTGCAATAACCATGTCTTTCTCAAATTTGGATTTCTAGTGGGTCAATGTGGATATTGCGTGGATACGGCAGCATTGAGGCGAAAGTGTCTAGTGCATCAGCTAACTCATTGTGGAACCGAGAGATATACCTGAGCTCGACGGATTTGAACTGTTTGCTAA